AAAGTATAATCTTAACTTTTTTTTTAATTAAAAATAACAAAGCATTCATCATTATTCATTTCGCGATGTGAAGACTTAAAATGATAAATTTATGGAAATAAAAATAGAGATATGACAAATAGACGTACCAGATTGTATTAAGAAGACAATCCAATGGCTGTGGTGAGTCCAAGAAAATGTATACTAAGATATACATTTGTTTGGTCGGAACTTAATCGAACGACCAAGATTTAGACACGCGGCGTTATCTGAAAGGTTGGAAAATTAAATATTTATTGTAATGGGAAAATGCTTCATTACTCACAGCCTTCATCAGATTGTTCCTAACCGTCCGATTAAAATCCGCCAGTAACCGGACGATCAATGATGTCCTTATAGCGAGTATCCTACGATTTCCCATTCTCGGGGGCGTGGCGAGGAGACTTGAGCCACGTGTTCATCATAAAGAAATGACCAACTGGTGTCTGCCGAATTCTAATCCAATCAACATTCAGCACAAATTTTAGCCATAAAAAAAAAGGAAAGATAATTAATTCAATTACATATATACAATAGTAAATATATGTTAAATTTTGGCCATAGAAAGAACAGAAAAAAATAGCAAAAACATGCATTTTGATATATAGCATTAATTTAAAATTTTACAAAATTGACATAAATTACAAATTTATACAGACCAATCAAAAACCACTTTTATGATATTAAAATAAAAAAGTACTAATATTTTTATAACTTCCCTTTTTTCATTCTCCTTCAGTACAGCAAACCCTATCTGTATTAATCGCATTATGTTTAGAATTTTACAAAAATAGTAAAATTCAAATTTTATTTAAAAAAAAATTCAGGACAGATTTTGGGGGTGTTTTTTTATTAATAATGTTAATAATAAAAGTTATTTTAAAAATATTGTATTTTAATTAAAAAWTTTTAAAATATAGTATGTTTTGAAATTTTTATTTTGCAACGTGGCGCCACGCTGGACGCCACGTAAATTTGTTTTAAATTTAGGAGGTAAGAGACGACCATGAAGAGACGACCATCCGGTTCATTTTTGGAAAAAAATAAAATAAACTGTGTTATATTATATATTATTTAGTAGTTTAAATGTAAAAAACTGCTTAGTGGTGCAGTGGGTGTACGGGGATGGAAGAAATATTAGAGTAGTAGTATATCCACAAAACTACTAAATAATATATAATATAACAAATTTTTTTTTTTTCAAAAAATGAACCGACCATAAGAGTTTTTTACGTTAAAACCACATGGTCGTCTCTTACRTTCAAATTTTTAAAAATTTTACGTGGCGCCCATATGGCGCCACGTCTAAATGGTCGTCTCTAGACGACCAACCTTCTGTTTTTTAAAATTACAATATTTTTAAAATAAGTTTCAAAACCTACAATATTTTTAATATTTTTAATTAAACAACTATATTTTTAAAATAAATTTCATTTGGAACAATATTAAAAAAAACCCAGATTTTGGCCATAAAAACAAGGATAATTAATGCAATTACAATATTAAAGATATGTTATTACATTTATAGCAATGTGTTTAAACTTTTACAAAATTAGTAAAATTGATTTTTTTTTTTTACAAGATGTAAAATTTAAATTTAACTCTCTTTTTAGGAATAAATTCAACTCATTTAAATCACATAATGAAGATTTAATTCGAGTGCCTCCTAGTGAATAAGATATACATTACCCGTAAGTTTATAATTCAATTCCTCACCTTAACATGAGCTAAAAAAATGTTTATTAATAGTTTAGGCTTCATTTGATAATATTTTGCCTTTAATTTTATTTTTAAAAATTAAGCTTAAAAAAACATTGGCACCTTCTTTTCATTATTACTCATCTGCTTTGTTACATAATTTTAATAAATATTTTCAAAATCTAGTTCAAGTTTTAAAAATATAAAAAGAAAATTCAAAAGCTTTTTTATTTTTGAAATTTACTTAAAAATTCAAATATGTTTTCGAGAGTTGGTGAAAAACTTATCCATAAAATTGTATAAAAATAAGCATAATTTATAAAAACTAAAAACCAAAAACAAGCAAATGCTCCTTAATAAAAATAAAAACAAAACAAAACAGATGACTCTTTTTTTTTTCTTTTTTGAATTTGGTTTTTTAAGGAAATGAGTAAGATTCCTTAGCCTCATGGTGAATAAATTAAAAAGTTAATCTTAATTTGTTTGCTAAAAAAATGAATTTTAAGAACATTAATAATGATATAATAAATTTCAAATCCTATCCTTGCACGTTAACTCATGCATAAATATTACCCCTCTAAGTGTTTTTTCTTTATTTATTTAATTATGGAKCCTCACGCTTTTAGAAAATTATATGTTTTACCCTCAAATAACTTTAATATCAAATCAAAACACCAGAAATTATAGCTTTGACAAAAGCAATATTGCTAGGGAGTTCAAATAAAGGATCTTCTTTTTAATTATTATTAGAGTAAAATATATTTTTGATCTCTCATGTTTAGATTTTATTTCTTTTTGGTCTTTGAGATTAAATTTAATTTCAACTTAGTCTTTAAAGTTTTAAAAGTGATATGGTTCAAATTTAGTTTCTAATTGGCCTTTGAAATTTGAATTTGATTTTTAATTGGTCTTTAAATTAAGTTAATCGATAGTTGACCTAACAATATTTTTTATTCTTTTTTGTCTATGTAGCAAAGTCTAGTCAATATATGTTTAACTATTTCATGTCATTTTATTATGTTAGCTAACAACCAATTCAAGTTAAGATTTGATTAGAAACCAAAATCAAACTTTAGAGACCAATAAAAACTAAATTTGACTAAATATGTTGTTTTTGAAACTTAAAGGATCAAATAGAAACTAAATTTAAATATCATGAATCAAAAGTGATGGTTTTTTTAATACATGAACTGAATAGAAACCAAGTTCAAACATCAAGACCAAAAATGTATTTTACTCTTATTATTATTCATAAAAATGCAATGTCAATTTATAATTTCAAAAAAATGGAAAGAATCGTGCACAAAGACATGTAAATAAGTAATAGTTTCAAGGTTGAATTGCAAGTCGAACTCTCAAACTTTATAAATACATAAAAATCTCTACCCTTTCAATTTTGTCTCATAAGCACGGCTCTTTTACTCTATTAAACTCCATTAATATAATACTTATACGACACATTATTATTTAAAGATTACACTACTGCGACTGCGGTGTGGCAATTTCAACTTGCCACACATGATAAATTGGGGCAAATTTTAGGATAAAGTTTAAAAAACAAGGCTATGGCAAAATTACTCCATCGTAAGGTATTTATTGAGATATCTATGTATGAATTAAATTTATCTTAATCCATCAATTTAAGCTTTTGGATTCATTGATCGTTTATTTATGTTTAAGATAGTATCAAAGTAAAAAATCTTATATTCAAACCTCTGTGTTATCATTTCCTCTTCATTTATATTCATTTTCACTCTCCCTCCTCAACCTACGCAGTTAGTAGACCCCTAATCTAATGAAAAAGATTGATTTAATTGACCCAAGAAAATAAATGACAGTTAGTTTTACCTGTAAACTTTAGTAACGTTTAGTTCCGATAGGTCGATTAGTTACTAATTTTTTACCAAAAACCAAACCGAACTGACTATTCACATCCCTAGCTGATAATGAAGTTCCAACTTGTCTCCATACTTTTGAAAGAAGAATGTGTAGGTTAGGTAAGGGCTTTGAGATCCAACGTCATATAAAAGATGACATGAACTTCTGTTCATTTAAAGTCGGACTCAATTGAAAATTATACTGTTTGAATGTAGCTTTATAATTAATTCTTACCAACCCAGTTGGGCCATCCATCAACATCCCCATTCTCAACAAGACACGAATAAAACTTGTTCTGGGTTTTAGAAAAATATAGGGCTTTAGAGACTTCAAACTTACATTCTCTGTGAAGCACAGGAACAGCCATAGATTCCGGTGAGGGAGCAAGGAATTTCGGTATAAAACCGCCCCGTTTGTGAGATCGGATCTATGTCAATGAATCAAGCATTATAACTTTCATTATCTGCAGATACCAGAAAGAACTAGCTTTGACATAAAACTGTCTGCTTTTGTTTCTTCATTCTACAACTGATTATACACATGGAGGTTTATATATTATGAAGGCTGTACTGCTTTTACAAGACTGGTTAGATTAGATGAAGAGTGGTTTCTTTTCTACTTCTAAAGACAAAAAAAAAGAGGAACTAAGCTTAGTCTATAAACTTTCCTAATTGGCAAAATGATGGTACGACGTTCTCGACATTATCGTACCTCTAATACTGGTGAATTTGTGGTGTCAAGACATTCTGCTTCGTTTACTAGGGCTTTACTCCCGGCCCAATTTCTGCTTGGACTTCAAAGTAGTCCTTAGTCTATTGTTTTTTATCATGTCTATGAGTTTGTCATTTCCTTTTGAGCTGTTATCAACGCTCCCTGAATTGTCCGGTGATTCATCAGAGATAACAGGCTTCTCGAGCATGGAACTATCGGCAGCTTTGCCACTTGCCGTCGCCGATTTAGCTTTAGAATTCCTCTTGGCTGAAGCTCTACCCCTATAATTCCATCAAAATTTGATATAACTTGGGGACCAAATAAGAATGTGTGAAATGAATAATGTAAACAATTAGCAATCAAGCAAGCAGGAGCAACCTTCTGGTTGAAAAACTGGTCTTTTCTTCCTTGGCTGCTGATTCTGACTTAATTTTCCTTTTTCTCTTTCCCAGTCTACTCTAAATTAAAACAAACTCTCATGTCATAACAACATAAAAAGTGGGGGAGAGAAAACATAGGTAATCAAGGAAAGGAAATATTTTAACATAATGCATGAAAAATATTTGTGTGGTTTAGTTATGGAAATAATTAATATAGCCACTAAAAGGTTTCAGAATTGTTAATGAAAAATCAGAGGAAAGATTTCAGATGTTTCAAGTTGTTGTACAGGGGAGGAAGCAATTTAGCTAACAATCACGGGAAGTCGATTTTCAGGTTACTTGCTTCCAAATGCCTAAAATGAACAAACGTCTTATATCAAATTATGATCATATAATAATGAAGCTTACATATCAGATGAAGCTTCAGGTTCTGGGACATCCATCTCCTCATCCTTTGTCAGCATAACAAGAAGAAATAGGAGAAACCAAATTTAAAATGGCAATAAACAACTCACAGGGAAAGATGCTAAAATAATTAAAAGTGAGACACCTACCCCAACTGGCAGAGCAGCACCGCCAATTAGCTCGTATCGCTGCTTTTTGAGGTTTAATACTTCCTCGTCACCATCATCATAAGACACCTATGCAAGAAATAAAAAGGAACGAAGAAATCAGAAACTACAAAAAGAGGAAATAGTGGAAGAGAAAAGAAAGGTAGCTTTTATGGAGGACATGTCAAGGTCCAGAATGGATGGTTCAATTCATCTGAGTATCATCCAATGATTGTTGCATCAGCAAGGAATGATTTTGTCCAAGTTGACATTACTACAAGGACAAAGGAGGGGCAGAAAGCAGTATGGTCAATGGATTGAGGCTGTGAGAAGAGAACGAATGACTGGTTACTTAACCAAAGGCACGGTTATATGTGAAGGTGTTCATAATATGAACTGGTTTACAAAATATGCAAATGCATACACTCAGAAACGAAAGGGCTTTACAAAAAAGAGACAAATGGTTGAACTTTGAAGGCAGGGTATAGGGTCATCTTGCCTTGTGCTTTTTATTGACAGGGTCAAAGCTATGAACAACACCTTCATAGAACCTGCAGGACAATAAAATAAAAGACAGGTTGATTGCTATATAGAAACTTAATTTTTATCAGCTATTGATAGTAAGGTAATGTTCTTTTATTGTAAATTGGGTAATGGTATCATGCTCGAAGCCAATGTTCTTATGTTACTTCGTTTCGTCTTCAATTTAAAGTTATGTAACGGATCTATTCAACTAGTGGTTCATGTAACTATCACAACTTGACAGGCTGGTTACATGATTTTTTGGCAGTGATCAATTGTAGTCTAAATTGCTAAATTTTTGTTTGAATTCCACTTTTCCAGGACAAGATGGTTCGGCAAGTTTGTGAAGTACTCACTTTCTGTCCAGGGGCCACCAAACCTTTATTCTTCTACCAACCAGTTCCTCTCCAGCAACTGATATGTCCATTACCTGAAACCAACTTAAAAAATAAAAGTTAGCAGCAACTACAAAACTAAATTTGAAAACCAATCTAAGACGTGCAATTGAGTGAGGAATAATTATATATTGTTTAAAGTCTAAGAAGCACCAAAACTTCAGTTTTTGAGTAACATGTTCATATCTGACACTACAACACTTACTGGACACTTGTTAGCCCATTATAAATATGCCTAGCTGTACGAAGTAAATATAGATCCAACACTTGATAGGCACGTATCAAGTATTTGTTAAAGCATAATAAATAGACATAAATAGTAATATACAATAAAATAATAAATCTTTAGAGAGAAATACATTAAACTCATTTTTTAAGCATAGAAATGCATAAGCTTTGAATTTCCTTCTAGTATAAAAATGATATATATTTTCTGAAAACTGTATAATTTAATATACATGTCCTTGCTGTGTCCAATGTCCATGCCCTAGATTTTTAAAAAATGGCGTGTCATCATGTCCATGTCATGTCGCATTCGTGTCTTGTTTCTATATCCGTGCTTCTTAGATGTTTTTCTATTATGGAATCATCAAAGTACGAGATGCATTCTTTGCGTGTGTTAAAGTTGAGGTACTACAATCCTTAAGCATGTGATATAATAGCAAAGCCTAAGTCATAATTTTCTCCGTTGCCACTGCAGGGTGCTCAAGTAAGCATTGCCAACAAACCAGAAACAATAGCCTTCTTAAGTTACGCAGCAAAAATAAAATTCTACAACTTAGGTTTCCAAGAATGGTACTTCAATCAAATTCTCACCATGAACTTCAGTGATGATGTCATATGAAAAAAGAAAACAGAGATAAAAAAATTCATTAGAAAGTACCCTTACAGCATATCAGTGCCATAGCTTTGAGGGAAGGTTCCAAAATTCTTACCTCTTTTTCCACAATGGCATCCTTCCTTGTATCATTTTCCTTGGGGGTTTCTTCCAAGCAATCATCACTGTCTAACTTGGTAGATCGGGAAACTTTCTTCTATTAAGTGGATAAGAGTGTGTAGAAGCACGATTAAGCAATGTCACAGAAGAATAAAGGAGACAGATTTTTAGTAAATGTACACTTCAAGTCTTAAACATGTAGTTTAACAATGAATAATTAATTAGGAAAGAAATTTTTGTTGTACCTCAAAGGTTGATGATTTGTGAACATTCTTATCCATATTAGTATCCACAGATTTCACTATAACATCCTTTTGGACTAATGACCCATCCCCATTGGTGCTCTTCACTCTCAACTTCATAACCAAATGCACTGGCCGTTTCTCTTTCCGATCAGAGGGAACAGAAACTTTCTCTTCTGAAATGACACATCCGGGATTAAGGGTTGCTTTATCCTTCTTAGACTTAACAACTTTAGATTTCCTTGACCTTGCCTGAGCTTTTTCTTCCATCTTTATCATGTTCTCATATACCACTTCATCTTTAGATTTTATAGGTTTTGCTTCAACATTTGCAGAAGACTCCTTTTCTACCAATGTTGGCAAAGAAGCCATTTCCACTTTTGGGCTGGCAGAATGAGAAAATTTAGTTTCATGGTCAATAGACTTTCTGCGATTAGATAGCTTGGACTTTTCCCGTCCTTTTCCAATCCAATAATGATCATAGCCTTCATCTGGGTTCATTAAGGAGTTGGGTTTCCTGCCTCTTTTTTGTGGGACGGAGTCTAATGTGTTTTCTGCCTTCGTAGAGTCTAAACTGTCCGGTTTTTTGGTTTCTATCATTTTTGACTGTTTACTATGTTTTCGTGATTTTCTTGAAGATTCCTTCATTGTGTTGTCATTACTAGCTGCAATTGTACCGTTGGATATCAATGATTCTGAAACACCATCAGTTCGAGGATTCTCTCCACAACTTACATTTGGTGTATGCCTCTCTGGCACCTATTTGGCATGAATATACATCAGTATGTAATGTTTAATTGCAGTTGCAGCTGATGCAGAGTTTTTTTTTTTTGTTTTTATCATGGTCAGAAAATATTGTATAACATATAGATAAAGAAACATACCGGCATTGACTCATTTGAATTTGTGCCCTTTTCTAAGCTCTTTTCATTTTCCTGAAGCATGCAATCAAATGTTAAACAAGCAGGAACCAAAGAAACTCAAATATCATAAAGTTACATAGTTCTGTTGTAGTTTCAGATGAAGATATTTCAGTTGGTCCATTGAATAACTTCTATTAGTTATTGCAATTAATTGCTAACGATGCACTGTTCCCCTTTAGTCACTATCCTTCTTTAGTTTATCTCAAAAACAAAAGATAAGGGAAGGTGGATGACCTCAATTTGATTTCTTTAGAATACCACGTTTAAATGAATGCAGATAGTTTTGTGGATAAAAAGGAAAAAAGACATGAGATCGGTTGTTCAGATAAAATATCTCAGATATTTCATTGTTTCTCCCTTCTCAAGCTTCTCACACAGTTAATGGCAAATAATCGGTAAAACTTCATTAGCAGCATAATCATGACATGAAATACACAGGTAATCTGGCAGATCTTAGTAGTGCCGAAGGCGGCAAGAAAATATAAAATAATTCTCTAGTATTGTTAAATTCAACTAATAAATGGTTTCATGATGAAGTTATAGTAGGCTTCAAAGATAATATGACAATTAAATCCCACTAACAATCGGCTTTATAATGCAATTCAAATGCATATGATAATTCTGAAAAGATAGCACCAATTTAAGTCCATCCAACTCAGAAAACATTTCTACATTAGTAGGTAGAACTCACCAAATACTTCCCAGCATCAATGCTGTTGGTTTCCTTTTGGCATATAGAACTGACTATAGGAGCATAGTCATCCAAAGTAGCACCAAGAGACTTAACTGCACCCATAAGATAGGGCTGGAGCTTAGTAGCACAGTTGGAGATGACCTTTTCTCCCAATTTCCATGAAATAGAAGCCGCTTCCTAAAATAATGGGTGAACCAATCAATTGACAATAATATAAAAGAAATAGTGTTGCAAATGGCCAACAAGGGAGATGAAGACAGCAAAAACAAAACAAGAAAAAAGAAAAATACCCAATTTTCCTTTCGGACACTAGCTAAAATAGGGCTGAGAAGATCTGAGGTGATTTCCTCACTTTCATCTAATACATTAGTCATAATTGCTTCCATGGCTGAAAAAACAGCAGGTGGATGGTTGGACCTTAGAATTTGGAGAAAATAAATCAAGATTAGAAGAAGAAAACAGAACTTAAAATATGATAAATATAACATCGAGATCTGAGCTATCTGACCAAATCAAAATGATATTCCTTCTCAGATCACTACACCAAGACATTCTGAATATTTGCAGGGAACATTTTACTCATCTCAAATTACAATCAATTCTGATAAATAAAGTGCCTAACCAATCAATCATCTTCAGTCAAAGCCTCCCTAAAGATCTAATGTAAACTTTCCATAAATGCCAAAAACTAATGTAAGATCAAGCATTTATTTTACCAACATAATAACCAATTCTAGAATATCTTGCATGCTACTCAAACCATGCTTGTAAGTTTAGTAATGTCTATATTCATAAAAAAATTCTTCATAAATAGTACATCATAAGCTAAGTTTATGGACACATTTTAAAATTAAGTCGCATAGTTTTGGTTTGCAGTGTTTTGTCTAAAAGAACAGGGAAGGACTCAAATCCTCGTTATAGAGGGCAATCCATGATTGCAAACAATAACATGAAAGAGTAAGTAGATGCTCTTGAAAGCTTTTAAGACAGGTTTGCTTAAGAAAAAAGTTACAGTTTTAACTGGTCATAAATTCCACAAAAGCTAACAGAGATGAAAAGAAAATTCTATTAACTACCAGGAAACTAGTTCGAGAAGATATTTGGCTAACTATGGTATAAGATTTTCAACATCGACCATTTTTATGACCTTTACCTGATGAGTTTTAGGAAATTATGGAACATCTCAAGAATCAAATTGTCACACTCGAGATCCAGCATCACCAAGCTGGAACGAACCTTTGCAACAGCATCGAGAATGGATAATGCCCTTGTATAACAGCGATCACCAGACACATTTGACAACTTTTTGAAAGCTTCTACAGTCAACTGAAAAATCACCTGCACAGTAGAAATGGAAGAAAGACCAGAACATGAATTTCAATATCGGTTATAACATGAATATGTTTTTGTGAGGGTTCAAATACTGGAGATAATTGAGCTCCCTAAAAGTTACCTTCATTTTTTCATCATCATACGGGGCATCTGGCGCTGTTATTCTTGTTATCTCAGTAACGCAATATGTTACTGTAACCTTCACATCCTCTTCTGAGTGCTTCAACAGCTTATTGGAAATTAAAGCCTTCATTAAGGGCAGCAGTGCATCTTGCATAGATTGTGAAGGTGACTGCTCCACATTTGTTAAGAGACATTCGGCTTTCTGGACAAATTTGCAGGAGAGGACAATTTTTGTGACAACCACTAAACTAGTATAGAGGACAGAACTTACGTAATTAGACACACAACCCCAAGAAATAACAGAAATGCTTAAACAAATCAAGTCCTAGAGCGAGGGGAAGCGTGGGGGGGAGGGGTGTTCAAACATATTATCAGTATGAACAGTAACAATAAACACTTTTGGAAGGAACACTAATGAAATGCTTCCTCTAACAACATTTTTAGGATTTTCAAAATCACTTACAACTACAAAACCAAATATCATTAAAATTTTGAACCTAATAACCACAAATTATATTCATGTTGAACCCACCCTTCATCTACAAAGCAGCAAAAAAAATGGTAGAGGCCCGATGACAACAAATTGATTTTATCAGTATTCTCTGTCTTAAACAAACATTATGAGAAGGTATAGCGCATCTATCACGAAAGGGATGATTATCTTGCAATAGTTCCCCCTTTTATAACATCTCACTTTCAAATTCTACAAGTCCTACTCGTGTATTTCCCACTTCTTCTTGTCCAAAACTATAATAATTACAGTGAAAGAGGCGTAACCTATTATTCTCCCAATTCATGTCAAGCCATCAATAGATACGAGAAGGCAGTTTCTTGTCAAGTGAAAGGCATAAAACCCATATGAAATCCTCATAAATTAACCAAACCCAGAAGAATTATGTGTAGAAAGAAACATACAGAGCTATTCAAAAGAG